TAACATGTTGTCTTATCTTCGACAACTCCATCATGGCTTGTGGTAAGCGATTATGGATTCTTCTATGTTAAGAAACCAACCATGCAATCTGTGCAAGAACTTCTTATCAATACGGAATTTATTAGCTAATCTTCTACATTAAAATGTTTTGATGTAGATAATAATTTCCTTGTACAGATGTGACCACAAACGGGTAGATCCTACTCGTCTGTTCGAAAATGTCTAGTTTTTGTTGATCCTTCTTCATGAACGTTCTTTATCAATGATCGTATACCTCTTCTGTTTCATATACTGAAATAGCATACAACTGAAGAAAAACCACTGGTACACCGTTCGGTATAATGTGTGCTCTATTGGTCGTATTATTCGTCGGTGAAGCATGCAAACATACGACGTGGGAATGTATTATTATTAACCATATAAGTGTCCATAAAAAAAAATAGGATTAACTTGAAGAAGAAAACTTGTTAATTGACGAGATTTAACCTTCAAACGTTATGTATCATTTTCAATAGGCTGTAATATAAAGAGTAAAGAACTGCATATTTCTAGCAACACATGATGCTTTTCTGAAGATTTCGTATTTAAAGGAGGTCAATATTCAAAAGTGAAACATAGCTCAAATATCATGAGAAAATCAATCTTCGTCTAATCTAATTGAAACTTGTAAAGATTGATGTTATTCAAAACGTTTTTGTTTTTCTTTTCAAGATTCTTCTTCATCCAAACGAATATCACGAAGAAGCATTACAATTAAGTGCTACGATTTGTTTATGTAAATTTATGTTATTATCAGTTGAACTATGTGAAACACATGCCAAAATGTTATTTGATTTATTAAAAAATTCAACATTTGAAAGTGTTCGTGTTGCTATTATGGTTTTAATGAATGATTTTTATTTAAAGTAAACTTCTTAAGAAAGAATTTTATTTTCAAAAAAAAAAAAATTTTTCTTTATAAGATATCCATTAGCATTTGCTGCTTATTCAAATGATGTTTATGGTTGTTTACGTGATCGATCAGATAATGTACGTTTAGCAGCATTAAAAACAATTTCAAATTTAATTCTCAAAGAAATGGTTAAAGTTAGTTTAACATATTCATATATATAAATTAAAAAAAAAAAATTATATGATTATATAATTGTTTTTTTTTTTGTTTAGCCAAAAGGTCAAATAAGTGAAATAGCATTATGTATTATTGATAAACATCCTCAAATCGCTACATTAGCTACATCATTTTTTAGTGAACTAGCTAAACGACAACATGGTGAAGCATTATTTAATATTTTACCAGATATTTTTTCGAATTTAGTCGGTGGTGGATTAGATAAAGAACGGCAATTAGATGAAGATGATTTTAAATATATTATGGAATTTTTATTTAAATATGTTAGTAAAGAAAAACAAACAGAAAGTTTATCAGAAAAATTAATGCAACGATTTCATCTGGCTGAGTAAAAAAAAAAAAAAAATTTTTTCATTAAATTTAGTTTATTATTATTTTTTTATTTTTCTTTTTATTTAGTAATAATCCTCGTTTATGGCGTGATCTTGCTTATATCATGTCAAAATTAACATATAATGAACGATCATTAAAAGGTTTACTTGATCATTATAATTATTATGCAGATAAATTAGTTGAAGATGGTGTTTATGAATCATTTTTAACGATTCTTAATAATGCGAAAAAAAATTTAGGAACTAAACCTGATTTAAAAGTAAAAATAAAAATAAATTTTTGTTGTTTTATTTTCATTTATTGAAAATGATTCGGTTTCATTACTAAAGGTTGTACTTGATGAATTATCGATTCGTATTGATCAAGCAAGATCGTCAAATGGAATTTTAATTGCTGTACAACAAGCACAACAAAAAACAAAACAACAACCAAAAAGTAAAATATCATAATAAAAAAAACCTAACGAAGAAAGCTCTCCAATTGATAAATCACGTCCGAGTTAAGGCTTTTTTATTCCTACACTCGTGGAGATCTAGAAAAAACTATTTCATACTTGATTCATATTACATACAAAAAACTTCTATACTCATTTTTTGTTTTTTGTTTTAGTCGGTGATTACTTCTTTTTTGCTCATTTTTCTTGAATGGAATAATTTTGTTTCCTAGTCCCAATCCTGACCAGTCTTAGCAGCTTCTCGTTCCGGTGGTTCAGATCTTGAACTGTGACAGCTCACAGTTCTTTGAACCTGCTCTTTTCTGATGAACTAGATTCACTGATAAAATTTTTTAATGAATGCTGGGTCTTGCCTCACAAAAACTTATTTTCGAATTTCAATTTGAAATTTTATATACAGACAGGTCTTAACTAGAATAGTTTTTTGTTACAGTTTCAGATCGTTTCATTGTTCGTATTCTAAGATACAATTATAATAATATCGTGTCTTTTAAGTCACTAATATGAACAGACGGATTTATGTTCTTATTTCAAGATAGAAGTAAATCAAAAGTTCTACAAGTCTCACAATAAACTGCTCTTATGACGGTCATTCTCAATACAAAACTTCAAGTTGAGCTTCGAAAATTAGTTTTTTTTGAGAGAGACTAAAACATTCATTCAAAACAAATGCAGAACCTCTGCAGCAAGTAGCTAAAGGCATGAACTCTTGTCAAGGTATTCATAGCTTTTTTTTTGATACTACATAATCTCGACTCCAAAGCAATTTATCATTTGGAGGACCCTCGTAAAATTCCTTTTATTCATAAAAAAAAAGTTATTTTATTTTTTTTTTGATTAGATACTCGTGCTGGTGGAGCAAAGAAAGGTAAACAAACAACAAGTCGTAGTAAAGCAAAAGCAGCACAATGTAAGATTTAGTTTTTAAAAAAGTAAAAGCACAATGTCATAGGAATTTATGTTGATTTTTAGCTGATGATGATGATGATGATGATGCAAAAGAAAATGATGATGATGATGATGAAAATGATTTTAAACGACCAACAAGAAAAGAACCGAAAATACAAACAATAAGTCGATCAAAACGTGGTGCTGCTGTAACTGCACGGAAAAAAGCAGCTGTAGTAGTGAGCGATGAAGATGATGATGATTAACTTGCTTTTTTCTCTTTTTCTTCTATTATATTAAATTGTATATATATTGATTTGGTTATTGACTTTTTCTTTTGAAATTATTCGTTCTCTTACTCCTTTTCTTAATTTCGTTTATTAGAGGACTTTGTTATGCATAATATTCCATTTATTTTGTGTTTCATTTTTGAAAAAAAAAAATTGTAAACGTTTTTTTTTGTCTGAATATTACAAATAAAAGACTTGTTGATGAAACCATTTTTTTTTTGTTTGGAAAGCAAAATATCAATTGAAAATCGTCGATATTTTTCTGACAACAAGAAATATTTTATATTGATAAGAATAAAAAACGATTAAGCGCTTATCGTACTAGAACTTTATATAAAAAACTTGACAGAAGACTGTAACGATAAACTGGATGATTAACTGCTGACACTCGGCAATGATGTTTATTAGCTACTTTATATGTCCAGAATGTAACTGCTTCACACCCAACCGACGCTTATGTAGAAGAGAACAAGAGAGAGAGCGATGAACATAAGAAAAGACAATTAACGTAAAATAAAGAGGAAGGAGAAAAGAAGAAAGAAAGATCAGCAGAGGGTTATATCAATATCAGCACATTATATATATAAGAACATGATCATTTGATTTAAAGCATATACAAAATAAAGCTTTCGGTTCAAAACGATCCTAGTGAACAATAGTCGTTAGCAAGTCATCTTTATTAATGCAGTTAGCATTAGTTGACTTGCGGTGAACTAGTCTATATTAAATTCATGTATGGTACTCTGTAATAATATTGTATAATTGCTATGAATTGTTACAAAATGTCGCTGATTTTTCACTAGAAATTCTAGCCCGTTCCTTTTAATACTTAATAATGAGCTGATTATCGATCCAACATGATGTGAATTGTCTCAACTTTAGATAATCGTGGATATTTTGTTCTGTGGTACTGTAAGAGAGACAAGTCTCAGCTATAATACTATAATAAGTTCAATGATAATCATTGTTGTCAACTCGTTATACCAATTCAATATTTATATCTGTAAGCTCGGAAAACGGATGACCATATCAATATCCATGGTTTACCTCTTCTCTTTCTTAATGAAGACGTTTTGCCCAGCTTGTAATTGTTCAATACCATTGAATGTAAGGTGCCAATGCTATTGTAAGTTCATCATGATTTGTTTGTGCATCTATTCTTAAAATAGTCCAAATTTTAATATAGTATTGATTGAATTCATTATTCATTTTTCAAAACTCTTTTTTGTTATTGTTGAAATTGAATTTTATCGCAAAAAATATTAGAACTAAACCCAAAATAGATCTATAATATATATTATAGACAAGGAATTCTGGCCTATAAAATTGCCAATGATACTGTCAGAACTTCTGATTAAATCTAAGTACATGCTTACCAATTTTAAAAAGCAAAAAAACACTTCAATGAGCATAATTCAAATGGATATCATCATTGGATCTATATACTTCTTTTCATTAATATATATAAAAAAAGAATAGTCATAAGTCTCAGCAATGACATCATATCTTAGTTGTAAAATGTTGATAAATGAATAGCATTGATTTTATCATTACTTAGTATAGATATGAAAGTAAGATTATTTTAATATTGATCTGTTTAAAAATTATTTTCTTTTTTAATTGACTCACGAAGTACTTTCGCTATATCTGCGATTAAAGAACATTTATCCATTCAAAACTTTTAATGTCAAACAAATAGATAATAAATCTACTATCTTGTATCATTGTTATTTTAATGAGTAAGTGCGATAAATACATGTGTCATATATTCTATTTTGCTACATTAATGTTATTGTAGCAAATGTTGAAAACAGAATATAAAAATGACTACAATAGACTTTACATTGATACCCACTACAAGTGAAAAATAAATAATATAATTTATTCGCCATTAAATATTATAACAATGCAATCTGATTCGAACAAGCAAGATTATACTCAAAAAGACAACAATTACAATTTTGAAGGCGTCTATCCGTAAGTAACTTCAATACAGTAGACATGAGATTCGTTTTTGTTCAATGATGATTTTCGATTTTCTTTTTAAAGATCATATCAAGGATCAATACCACCTTATTTACCATATCCTCAACAATCAGTTAATGGAACCAGTTATGAAGCATCAAGCAAATCAAATGTTGGGCGAACACCATTACATCAACAACAAGGTATTAATGTTACACGTGTCCATCAACGATTTCGGAATAATAATTTATTAACACCAATTACAAGTAATCTAGCAACGTTTTTATGCATTTCTGGTTTGATTTATGCTCTATGAGGCATAATAGCTTTCAGTTTACAATTGGCTATTGTTGTGAATTTTTATTCAACATATTATAATGGCTTTTGGGCAGGTATTTTTCTTGTTTTTGGAGGAAGTATTATGGTGATTATTGGATTTCGACCATCTTTTCCATTGTTGGGTTTAATGCGATTGTATATATTTACCTTGGTCTTCTCTACAATGGGACTCACGTTTTCTATCGTTGATTATTCACTGTCAGCTCGATGTACTTCAATATCGTCACTATATTGTGATGATAGTTTAGCAAGTAATTTAAAAGTAATTCTTTTGGTTACATTTACTGTTGCCCTTATTCATACTGGAATCAATATGATTGTCATATCGAAAGAACAGAAAACAATATTGATACAATCCAATCCAAGAAATTTAAGTAATTAAATTTTTTTATGAAAGAACAAAAAGAAAACAAACCATTCACTATGAACATTTTTATTGAAAGGAAAAAATAAAATAAAATAAAATAAATGCACTCTTCTCTCTTCTATTTTCTTTCCAATAAATCTGACGTCACCGGAATCGTCTATATATGTATATGTTTCAAAGCAAAAGAAAAAGAATTGACCGAATCAAAATTTTGTTAATAATCACTGGGCTTTTTGATCACTGAGAAGAGTTGATGATGAACTTTGTCGTTTAAATTTTAAAGCGGCATCACCTGTTTGACGTACAAGTGGTTGAGAATTTGTATTAATGCCACTTATTGATGTCATGTTTGTTGCTTGTTGTTGATTTCCTGATTCAAATAATTGTTTTTGTTTTGCTTCATAATCCAGAATATATTTTGGAAATATTGAACGTTCATCAAAAGCTGATTTTAAATCTAAAAACAAAAACAAAAACAAAAAGAAATTTGATATTTATGATTTGAAAGAATATATATGCATTTTTTTCTTTTACTTTCGCCAATCATTGATGGTAATGGACGTCGCCGAATACTATCACCTAAATTATTTGTCTGCCATAAATAAGTAGTATCAAGATAAGCAGTCTTCTTCTGGTCAGGTATTGTTGGAGGTTCAAATGTATCAAGAGCCTTTTCAAATAGAAATCATTTTAAAAGTAATCAAAAATAAAACGGAAAAAAAAGGAAATTCAACTTACACCATATGCTCCACCGGGTGCTAAACCTGTTTTTTCCCATAATAAATAATCTTTTTTCGTAATTAAACTGGGTTGATTACGTTGTCTTCGATTAGTTCGTTTTTCTTGATATGTTACACCTTAAACAAGAATTTTTTTCAAAAATTAAAAAATCACAGTTTAGCTTTCATGATAGAACAATGTAGCTAAATTTTTTTCTCACAATATACATGGTTTCTCGAAAATAAGGGCTCTGTCAGTTGAGATGAATAGCCTTGATTCGAAAAACTACTTAGACTATTTTCTAGAGCAACTCTTGGTATATTGAATGATATAGATGTGAGATTAATTTTTCATTAAGACTTAGCGATCTGAGATAGTATATACCAGTTAACGAATATTATAGCAATTGTGAGTGATATGATGAAATATTTAGACTTACTATGTCTTGTCATCAACCGTATATATAGAATGACACTCATAATAGCATTCTTCGTATGCATAAACTTAACATTTTTCTTAGCTTCTATAATTTTTGGATTTTATGATGTTTCAAATTCTTTTCTAGTGCTCCTGAAGGCAAAACCGACTACCCATATAAATTTCTCATGTGTTGTGTGCTCCGTATTTCTATAAATATACCAATTAATTGTTCTCTGTAATGTTATACGCCATCATCAAATCGGAAAATCCATACCTAAAAAAGCGAATTTTTCAATTTCTCAGTGCAGCAATGTACTTTAGTTTTTAATCATAAGTTCATTATGACCTATCGTTTACCGTATATATGGATCTTTCAAAAACGGCAAAAATTTTGTCTCTTTCAAATACTTAGAAGGATAGACAGACATGTGAAATTTTTAGTTCTCATAAGAGAGTAAAAGTATATTGAATTTGATAGAGCTTCATATTGTAATCATAACCAGCTAATCATAATCTCAATTCGTAAGGAAAAAAAATACAAACTAGTCTTTATCATAGTCTATCCACATAAGAAAACTATTGTTACTATTACTGAATATATACGGTTGAAGACTAGACAAAACTCTAATGACATAACTTTAAAGAAAACTTTATATAGATTACTTTGGAGACATACTAAGTTCTAATATTTGGTTATATCACCCACAATTGCTATAATATTCGTTAACTGATATATGGCTTCTCAGATTGCTAACACCTTGATGAAAAATCAGTCTCACATATATATCATTCCATGTACCAAGAGTTTCTCTAGAAAACAGTATGGGTGGCTTTACAAAGGAAAGGTGATCATCTGATTCAACAATATTCTTCTTTTTTTAATTTTTTCAAGCTTTTCAGTTTTGGGAAGACTGCCTTCTTATTTGCACCAGCATTCAAAAAACATTCTTGTATAATTCAATTATAACAGATAGTGCTAGCTTACGTCGTCATCTGTTACTTGCTTAAAAAAATTATACTGAAATATACTATGAATATGCGATTATAATGTCTTTTTTTTCGGATTTGAACGGAACAGTGCATACCTAAATCTATTTATTGATTTTTCTTTTGGGAACATGGTTTTCAATCAGAAAAATTGAAATTCCTCTCATCCAGTTTCAATTAGAACAAATATTTTTCTTTTTGTTGTAAAAGTCTAAATGAGAGCAAACTTTTGTCGAACATTTGAAAATACCCGAGCTCTGTCATCATTGCAATGATGAAATCATAGGGCTTATTCTTGAGACCATAAATAGACTATAAATTAGCCTCAAGTTCGATCTAGTTTATCGCATAGAGCTGAAATTCATAATAGAAGCGTTGTTCATTAGGGTCACAATTTCAGTTCTAATGGAGTGTTCTAAGTAATAAACCTATTTTGTGGGGAAACGTTACTAGCTTTAATTTACCAATTGAAGTTGATTCCCAAACATTGGATCGTCTTGTTAACATTTCTTCATCTGTTATTGACGACATATCATCAATGTCTTGACTTAATACTGATTGAGATTCTTCATCACTTTGTTTAGAATTTTCTTCTTGAGATTCATCATCACCTTTATTTAGACCTGTTTGTGAATTTTCATCATGTATTTTTGATAAATCCATATCTACACGCCATTGATTTGGTTGTCCAAATGTACCATAAGGATTTCCATTTATATCTGATAAAACAACACTACAATCTGATGATGATGTTAATATAAACATGCGTTCATCTTTTTCTAAGAAATCAATACATGTTATAGAATCTGAATGTGAAGTAAATTCCGCAAGTAAAGCTAATAAAATAATGAAAAAAAAACATCATACAACTGAAGACCAAACATAAAGCAAATTATAACATGCTACATACGTGGTAAAATTTTTCCAACTGTTATTGAATCAGATTGAAGACAATATTGTTCTATATCCCAGAGTTTAACAACACCATTAACATCACCTGTTCCTAAATATTTATTATGCATATCAATTTCCATAATAACACTTGAAACTATGATAAAATATAAAAATCAAAAGATAAAATCAATTACGAATCAATTATCGATATACCATCAATATGTGCTTGAAATTCGCTTAGAAGCTTTCCTGTATGCACATTCCAAAAGCGAACAAAGCCTATACCACCACATGATAATAGATTAGCACCTATTAAATTATTATTTATACTCGTTGCCATGCGTTTATCAAGAAATCTTAACATTGTAATAGCAAAATCAGCTGCATTGTCTTGTAACTGATTAATAAAGCATAAGAAATAGCATAGAAGAGCAAAAGCAAGAAAAATAAATAAATAAAATCTTTGCCTACTTTTGCTTGAGTATCATTTGGATTGCGTTTTCGTTGATCAAGACGACGAACAAATAATTCTGATGATGTATTCCATATACATATTTCACCATCAGTACTGCCCGATGCAAGTAATTGAGGAAAAAATGATGTTACAGCCATGCATACAATATCATCATCATGCCCCTATTTTAAGAATATTGAATATTCATAATTTGATGAATAAAATATACATATATATATATATATTTACTTCTGTTTTATCTTTTTCACCTTTCCAGTCTGTTGGAACACTTGGTCGTCCTTCAATTTGTTGTAAATCACGAAACACAGTCAAATATCTACAAACAATTTTATTATAAAACTTAACTAATTTTTTTCTTTATTCTCTTACTTGCTCCACCCAACAGCAACAATACGTCGTTTTATTGCTTCAATTTGTGTTATTTCTACTGCTGTACCTTTACCTGCATCTAATGTTTGTAAAATTCGACCATTATAATTCCAAATCTATATTTAAATTAAGTATATAATTGATTTCAACAAAGAATAATATTTACTCGAATTTTTCCATCACTTCCACCTGTATAAAATTTTTCACCAAATTCATCAAAACCTAAACAAGTTGTATCAAAATGTTCTCCAGGATTTTGTTCACTAAATCGTTTAGTTTTTTGTCCTTCCAATGACCAAAAACTAACATCACCACCTTGACAAACAATCATCACCTTTAATTATATATTTAATTTGTTTAAACAAGTTTTCTTTTCTATAAAATGAATAAATACTTGTTTTTGTTTAATAATATATCGTGCAGCAACAATTGATCGATCATGAGTCATAATACGATTTTTTATTTCAGGTTTGATTTCCAACATAGATATATTCGTACGAAAGGTTGCAAATAAACGACTACGTGAATCATCGAACCAACAAAAGATATCCACTAAACAGAAAAATTTTTTTTATAAACACTCATATTCTTTCGGACACAACATATGATTATTATTATTATTAAAACATCTGAAAATAAGACGTAACTATGCAATGGAGAAAGCAACAATCAGTCACAATTTAAAATTTTACAATATCGTTCCAGGATCAAGTTACATGTGAAAAGTAAAGTTTTGTCTCATGAAACGAATTCGCAGATGATCTTGCTGATAAACAGTGATTGAATGTTTACGTTCAAATTTTGAATTTATTGCAATTTTACGAAAAGGTGTAAACTATATTCATCATCGAATAACAAAACACGCCGTAGAAACAAGCTCCAAAATGAAGACCGATTGTATGGTATTGTAGAAAACTTTTAAATTAACTACTATGTACTCGGGTGTAAGGCTTCATACTCAATTAGAAGAATTCACTAAACATACGTATTTATATTCACATTTAATATTTCTTGTCCTTGAATAGATTTAGTTATTTTCTGGACCTATCTGAATTATTTCTCCATAATGCTACGAAACTTTTTTTTTCGACATCGTGCACGATTTTCGTAAACTTGTGTTTCAAAGAAATGATGTTTGCCTTTTCAAAAGAAAAAATCTGAATAAAGTATTAGCTATTACTTTTATAAATTCAATGTCTTCGATATTTTTACTTTCTCAACTTTCTATTATATACAGTATAATGAAATCGTTGATAGATCTAGTTTTAAAAAATATTCCTATCAGTTGAAGTAGACTCGATTATTGTATTTTCCTATGGTATACTGCTATTTTTTTAGAAATTGAATATCTCGAGAAAGATAACGTTTGTTTTCGTTGAAACTTTTAGAATAATATAATGGCTATCAAATGTGTCTATATAACTCTCTATTAGTAGGACATGGACTTGATTTTTTTTTAGATGTGTTTTAATCTCTTGAAGACCTACTTCTAGTCATAATATGAGGTCAAACGATGTAAGAGATAGGAAACTAACTATAGTAAAAAAATATTTTTATCAAAATAACATTGAATCTACAATAAGTAAAACAATTGTTACAATAGTAATATTTAAAATTTCGTGTAACCATAATAACTGTTTTAAGAAATACGATTGGATATTTTGTATTCATTCGTTATTTGTATAAACAAATTTGAAACGACAGATTCACTTCATTCATTTATCGATTAACTTCTATTGTTTTTTTCTCTACTATGAGTAATTACTTTAATTGTTGATGTGCTTTGTGCATATCAAATTTCATTTGATTTTACTTTTTTATGGAAATCATGAGTACATTTATAACGAATCAAAATTCATTTTATCACTTTTGTTTCTGTTTTTATTCATCATTTATACTTTGATCAAACAAGTTAAAAGTAATAACATAGATAATAATGCGAATTCTTATCTTGTTTATATTTGTTGGACTTTCATCAACAATTGAACATTGGTTTATATTTGATCAATATCAATTTCCAGGATTTTATACACCACTTTTTACATTAACCTCTTCATTAAATTATCAACAAGAACAAAAATATCTCTCATTTGCTTTATCTTCATATGATCGTTCTATTATGGTTGATATTAGTATTCGAAATTCCAATGGAACAATAAAACAACAAGAATCATTAATTAAATTAAATATCGAACGTGCTGATATAGTATTTAATACATTAAATCATATGATTTTTATTATTGTTCAAGATCAAACTAAACTTGAAACATATGTTAATTGTAAATTAATTGATTCATATGTATTTTATTCATCAACTTTAATCAATGGACATGATAATGAAAATTTATTTTATGAATTAAAAAATATGACAAAAAATATTGAACATTATGAAATAACATCAACTTATGGATATACTCAACAAGAAATACTTGATATGTTCTCATGTAAACAAACTAATATAACCACATCCTCCGATAATAAAACAACAGCTAAAATTGAACGACCATTAATCCGTAAAATGCAAAATGTTGTCGAAAAAGTTCAACGACGTAAATTAAGATCAAGGTAAAAAACAAATAAACAAAAACACTTGTTTCTCATTTCTAACAAGGAGCGAAGGAGAACTCACATTAAATCTCACTGCATTCTTTTTCTATTTCTTAACTATGAAAAACTGATGATCATTTTTTAAAATAAGGATCCTACTAAATTTTCATCTATCTCATGAAATTGATGCAAAGAAAAAAGAATAAATAAAATACTTATGAAAAGACAAAATTTCAACAATTGACACCAAAATAAATCGAAACAGATTGATCTCGAGCTCAAGCTGTTCTGTGTAGACTCGAACTCGACACAAACTTACTTTACATAGTTTTGTTCACAATTCAGTTTTATATCTGATAGCATAACTAAAAAATACCGATAGGTGTCAATTCTGAGTCTTTTTTATTCGTAAACTTTCGTATCGAGAATTTTGAGAATGCTCTATTACATGGTATTCGGTAATCTACTTTTGACATCGACTTTATAAGAATTCATGAGCACAAGTAGAGAATAGGAAATCACTGTTAAATGATTGAATAAACACGAATCTTTTAAACTGTGCATCGAGAAGATTAAACTTGTTTAAAAAACAAACTTGACAGTTTTGCACAGCTTAAAACTCTTTATATATTTTAGCATATAAAGAAAACTATTTCACACTTAGGACATGAGAGAAAAGGCATTAACATTTAGTATAATTTATTCTGATACACATATTATTACTAATTCTTTAGACGTCAAAATAATCAACGTACTTCTCTTACACTTTTATCTGATTCGTTTACAATTATTTATAAACCTAATATTGATCAAATCAGTGTTGCTAGTACCAATTTTCATACTATTTTAAATATATCAGAATTAAAATTTTATATTCAATATTATCCAAATGAACATCTTTTTAATATTCGATTTAATAATGAAAATCATACTGAATTTATATTATATGCTGATAAATCAACTGATCGTATATTATCATTAGATAATAATCTTGTTATTTTTTTACATATAAAATCAACAATGATACAATGTTATATTAATTGTGAATTAGTTGATCAAGAATTTATTATCGATACACTTTATATAGAAAATATAATTCGACAAATAATGAATAATAATCAATATGAATATAATCGTCAGTCAACATTGATCTTATTTAATAAAACAATTGATGAAATAGCTGCTATGTTTTTCTGTTTAAAATTAGACAAAAAAAATCAAGATTTATTACCAGATAAATATGCGTTAAGGTAATCAACTCTAATCGAATATATAGTATTGATTAAAAAAAAAAATAATAACAATGTACTTTTGATTTTTTGTAGACTTCATATATATTTTCGAAGAAAATATAGTGAGAGTAAATTTTAAATCAAATTTTTACGGCTTTCCTATTACAAACCTTAGTCACGAGAACAATTAGCATCAGACTCTTCTCTCAGAGCTTTTTAACGACGGAAAAAGATGTTCAATCTCAGGACTTTAGAGAATTCTAGAATTGCTATAGTTGTTACATGATCATCTTGAAAAAGCTTGAATTGATCAAGTTCTAACTTTAGAAAATAATCAATATCAATATTTATGAGATTTTTAAGAATATATAATAGTGCATTGAGACCTACTATAGATATAATGGATATGTACAATAGGCTTATTTGCCAATTAAATCGATAGTTAGATGAATAAGCAGAATAAAGAGCAAATAGCAGTAATGAAAAGAAGAAAATTCTATTTGTAATACAGAAATAAATAAGACAGATTGTTTCCCTGATGATCGGTTACCTTGGAGAAGAACTCTAGCCTACGAGAAATTTTTCACTTTAAGTATTTTTTATTAGTATAATGAGACTCAAGAACACATAAATTCTAGATTTCACTCCCTAAGAGGCTGCACTAAAAAGTTTTTTTTCTACAATACCAAGTATTCCCTACTGAGATCTCAAAGATGGCCTATGACAGAAAAGTTTTTAAAAAACCAAACTCAGTAGTTTTTAAGTTCCAGACAACTGTCAACATTAATTTTAAGAGTACTGTCTTAAAAAGAAAAATATTCTGAATAGTATGTTGAATGGCCGCATTTTCTGCAATATTTTGATAATAAGTTATAAGTAACAAAAAATAATGTGTTTTTCAGCAATGCTTTGATAAATATTGTATTGTAATGTTTATAACTTTTTAAGAATAAGTCGCAGAAAATACGAAAGTCTTTCATTTTATTCCAGATTTTATGCTCTTTAGCATGATACTCTTACCAATTAATTGTTGCAGTCTTTAGGAACTTGAAGCTGCTGCACATATGACTTTTTGGAGACTCTCCTCTCATAGTCTATCTGTGAAATTTTAGTAAAGAATGTATTTGATAGAGAACTTCATTAGCCACTCAAATCTGTATTTTAAATACTTATAATCGTAGGAGAAAAAAAAAGTACGTTGATTTTTATATTTTTGATCAATATTGTATGTATTTCAACATAAGATTGTATCTCTTTTCTAGAAAATTCGCAAATGCTCTAGATGTACTTGTTAATAATCTTGATAGTCCAATCAATAATTATCAAAATGATAAAACTGATTCAATAACCTCTTCATTATTAACAACAACAACACAAACTATATCTGTTGTGAATATTCCTTTAATAAATGGCTTTGGAAATTTTAAAGTACTACCATCAAATCCGACTATTGAAACATCATCTGTATTACATGACCTGATTGAATATGATAAATTATGTTCTACAGATGAAAATTGTGACAGAAATAAATCTTCAATGATATGTCAATCTAATCATTGTATTTGTCCAAAACGTTTATTTTGGTCTACACAATTATATCGTTGTATAATATGTCATGATGTATTAATAAATAATCGTTGTTTTCATTTATCAAATCATAAATCAACATGGCATGAAGCTAATGATTATTGTCAAAGTGATAATATGATTGATGATGAACAAGAATACACGATGAAATTAGTATCAAATCTTAATCAAACAGATATTCAATATTTAAAAAAACACTTTTTACATGATCATAATTATGAAGAAAATGATTATATGTATTGGATTGGTGCAACAAGTGATTTTAATCAAAAAAATTTATATCAATATAATTATCGAGTTAAACGACAAATACCAACAACTGTATTTCGTTGGTATGATAATCATGAAATAGCACAAATTAATCTTCATGATATTTGGTGTTCACAAAGTGATTATATGCATTTAACAACAATAAATAATAATGAATTATGTGTTAGTATAACATCATGTGGTTTATATACAGATGATTGTCAAAGAAATTATCGATTTATATGTGAAGCTATTTAAGATGTTTTAATTTTCTTTTTTTTTTTGCCATAAAGAAAATAAAATAAAAAGTGAGACTGTTTTTTTTTTACTGTTTTACCTTCAGGTCCACGTGGAAATATATTTGATAAACGTTGAAGACATATTTGTAATTGAACATCCCATATACGTAATATTTTATCTTTAGAAAAGCTTAATAATTGGCCACGACTGGGAACAAATTGAACATAGAGTACAGATCGCATATGTCCACGAAGAATCTTTAAAAGAGATATTTGAATTATTATCGTTACTTTTCAAAATTAAATTTTTTATTACTCCATTAGGTTTTGATAAAACAAATGGATTCCATAGACTAACTTGATAGTTTACGCCGGCAGTTGCTAAAATAAAGAATTGAAATAAAAATCTAGTAAAATATTAATTGAAAGAACTTTTTTGATGCAATCTTACAAGGGAATTTTTCAAGATATCAAATCGCTTTTTGATCAAAATGACATTCATTTGATAAGTTCTAGTAAATAATTGAATTGTCTCTAGAATGCTTTGGTTTTTTTCATGTATTCGCTCTTGAGATCTCGAAATTTTACTGGATTTTTCAACAAAAAGCTGTGATATCCTCTCATATCACATGGAAAACAAACTTTCGAGCTTTCGATTTTAAACTTTGCATCAATAAAACTCTCAATGAGATTAGTTTAGTTCATCGGTCAAATCGTAAGTTTTCGAGCATTTTCTATCCTGATATATTGAATGTTTAAATTTCTCTCATGTGTAAAAGTAAATTTACAATTTCCGAGAGGAAATATTAGAAAATCTAATAATTACACATTTAACTAATTTCATTAAGACTGTTGTTTGTGCAGCGTTTGAAGTTGAAATTCGAAAGTTGATTTTTCTTTAACACAGGTTTTGGTTGAAAAATCCAGTAAAACTTCAATATTCCGAGAATGAATGTGCGGAATATAAAACCATTCTTGACTTTTCTATGAGTCTGTAGTACTTACCAAATGAACAATATTTCGATAGAAACGCGATTTCATACCAGGAGAAGTTCCCTCTTCATAACTTTTTGAAAAGTTTCCTTTTCTAGTAAATTTTTTGCATTAGACACCAGGGCTATAGATTCCAGGTTCACGAAATAGTATCTTCGTGTAACTATTAAGTCAGACTCTAGAGTTTCGATACCTTACTTATATGTGACTGATAATCATGTCAAGAATTTTCGCATTATATTGCTTATTGGCTGTTTCGTTCCCAATGCTTACCAATGGAGTTGATTGCTCATTGAACTTAATTCTTTCTAACGAATCATAAAAACACGGAAGAAATTGAAAAACGAAACTTCGAGCCTAATTTGTGTACTCATGTAAATATATAAAAATTACAGCATCAACACTAACATAAAGTTCATCGATCAAGTTTATCATGCTATAAAAAAAAGTCTTTCAAAGGAATACATCCAAGTGGCAGATGCTGGTAGACTACATATTATGAGTGTTGGATCATGATCTACTGAGATGTCTTTTTCATGATATACAGTTACCAAAAAAAAAACGCCGTTTACCTTACAACGAGACGAAAATCAAATGTACTTAGAAATTGAATCTCTCGAGAGAGACATTTATTTTCGTTGCAATTTCCAGGACAATTTAATAACTATTAAATCTGCTTATGGACAAAATTTTAGTTTGAAACTCATTATTTTGAGCTTTTCTGCAATGTTCTGCTGTCAGCTAGATGTGAACAGCGTCCGACGCCTGATTATATTGCCTTATCAGAGAACTTATAAAATCAAATACATTAAGGGGGAACCCCCCCTCCGAAACCTATCTTCTAAACGATACAACAGATTTCGATGAAAATTTCAGGAAATAGAAAAGCTAATGTAACTAGCATCTGATAAAAATTTCAACCAATCATTTTTGATAATTAAGAAGCTATACTCAATTTACTCATGAAAACGGGGGTTTTGGCACGGAACATTTTCCCGATGCGCGGTAGCATGAAAAATGTTGAACTTTGTTTCAAAATGAAGAAAAATCTTTTATCTAGAAATTGTAGGAACAGTTTTTTGAAATTCGTTTTCGTTCAATTGTAGTAATCATTTTAAACCGAAAATCGCAAAAACTGCTTTGAGCACTTTCAAAGATTTTCAAATATCTAAACAATGGAGATATATTTTGAAAATCTGTTCCGACAATTTCTAGAAAAAAGTCTCATCTTTTAAATAAATAAAAATCAGCAGAGTACATCAAGCGGTGAACTGGGAAAATGTTCCGCAATGGTCAGAAAACGATAAAAAAGTGAAGCTGAGAAAAACGAATAACAACATTGCGACGTAGTTGATGATCTTCTTGCAGAGAGAATTCGAGCATATTATATATCACTGAAAAGCGCACAAAAAGTTCTTACAGTTGGTAGTATTTTCAAGAAAAAAATAAGCCGATTTCTTAAGCTAATTTCTGAATCCAAGTTCACTGTAGCGCCATCTTTTCGAAAAATAGCCTAATTTTGAACCTTTCTTATAAGACTGCAACATCCAAAACATGATTACTCGATACGGTAATGGTTTTAGAGTGCTAATAAAGAAGGTAGAACGATATTAGTTACCGATAATTAAGAAAGAAAATCAACAAGACAGCCGATTTTCCATTATAGCGTCCAGTAAACTTGCCAAAATTGGGCAAAATATGTTCCATTCCTATATAGTTTATACATATTCTGAAAGAGGACACTTGGGGCTACAAGAAGATGTGTTTTTCCAAAAATCGACTTTCGAAGGGGGGGTTCCCCCTTAAATAGTCTCATGAAACTGATGTTTACTGAAGCTCATGTCTTTAGAAATAAATACTCGATTTAAAATTTAATAGGCTATATTCTTATCGTTTTTTATTCTTAAATAGACCAAACTTAAATCGCAATTTTTGAAACTTTACAAGTTAATGTGATTTAGTTCTTTTTGAAAATCTTAATATTTTGTTTTACTGCGTATTTAAAACTAAAATCAATCTTTCGATCAAACGAGATTTAAAATTTCTCTTACCAATCAAATTAAAGTTTCGTGAATAATCAAATGAATTAAGTCCTTGACTTATTTCAACCACACCTCTACAATACACATCATATGAATTCTATAATCTAACTCTAAGGACGTACCTTGTTTCACGTAATTGTCGAATACGAACTGAATAATTACTAAAAACAATTATCAAATATAAGAATCTTTGAAAAGAAAAACAATCATTAAAACGAACAAAAAAATCTCGTACTGTTAGATTGATTTAAAAAAAAAAGAAAGTCTTCAAGTTAGTGAATGTGACTATCGATAATTGACAGTGAACAAAATATATCATCTTTTTTTTGTTTCCATCAATATACCTCCGATCACGACCAAATTCAGAACTAAAATAATTGATGTATTATATCCATTAATTTATTATGAGAATATTCACAGAAAATGAACTTTATTACTCTTAAAAGAAAACATAATATTAACTTACACTCGCACTGTTAATCCTGATTTATCCATCCAACCAAATACTAATGCGGTTTTAGTATTTGTTGAACATGATATAAAACATTCAAGATGATCTGCATATTTAACTAAACCAGAATAAAAATAAATAAATAAATCTCAGTTTTAATTTATCTAAATAAAACCTTGTCGAGTCCATTCAGTATGTGCATGATATGTCAAATAAGATGCATTTTTATAATTTCCATTTGCTATATCTTCTAATTGAACTCTTGTATATGCTTAAAGAAAAGAAAATTTTTTATTAATAAATCAAATAAAAAAGCCTACCAGCATTATTCGTTTGTTGTGGTGGTCGTTCAAAAAGTGCAATTACAGCTGAATTGAATAAGATAGCATGAACATTACCTTTTACATCTCCCCAACTCAATATCGCATCGTTTGGATTTTCTGGATCAGACCTAAAACAATACTTCAAATTAGAGATTCATGCAGTCCAAACTATGACTCAATGTTCGGATTCGCATAGGTCTGCACATTTTTGATTTTTGTGAGGATGCCTACAGATCTTTAATATTGAATTGTTTATCCTACTATAGTCAAGTCTGGAATTCTTTCCTGTGGATTTAATGTCTACTTTAAACTGAACGGTCAAGATAATTATTTTTTCGTTTTCTCACCAGTAATCCAAACAATAAGGTGTAGATTCAATACCAACAATTCGATAAGCTAAACTTAATTCAAGTTTTGATGTCGTATCATAAATAACTTAAAAATAAAATATCAAATCATTTGAATAAAAGAGAAACAAAAATAAGTTTTACTTAATTCTTTTGATGTATAAGCAATAGCAACTTTATTAACATTTGTCATTAATACAAAATCAGTTATCCATAAATCACGCATTTTACAACTTTCTGTTGCTGCTTTAAATGTTTTATATAATTGCATTTCATCATTATAAATGCAAACGGTTCCTTCCTATGTAATTACTTATAAGAATAAAACTAACTGTTTTTTTTTTTGCTATTTTTACATACTTTACTAATTGATATATATCGACCAAAACTATCCATATGCTGAATACGTTTAATCGAATCTCGATGAGCACTAAAAGAAAAAATTATAGAAAAAAAAAAACAATGAAAATTTTGCATTACTTCAATAAATTCTTTCCACTTTTCCAATTCGGTACTGATGATGCTTTTTCACGATCATCATTATCGTATAATTTTAACATCAAATATGTCGCTAATTTATCCCTGTAAGAAAAAGTTCTATTAGAAAAACAAAAACTTCAATATAAAACTGTATTCTAACCATGAAATAAAACCTTCTTTGGTCACATCAACGCATTCAAATAATTCATCGTACTAAAAAACACAAGAAATATACATTCAAATACTTAAAAACAAAAATATTCAACATACATCTTTATCACTTCCACGATTTAATGTATTTCGTAAAAATTCAATAAAATGTTCTTTATCAAGAACTTTATCATTCGACTAAATAGATAAAACTTAATAATTTTATTTATTTTTTTCTATAAATTCCACATACAAATCCTTGTGATCGTAATTTTTGAAGATCTTCTGTTCCTAATAAATTTTCTAGTTCAATTCGTTCATCTCTTAGATCTTCAGGACTAAATAAAATTCAAATTTTTAACTATTACATATATATATATAAAACTTTCACTCTCTACTTTGACAAAGAACTTATGCTTGGTTGATTAAATAATCGCTTAAATTGAGCAGCGACAGCTGCACCTTTTAAACCAATTGATGAAGCTAATGATAAACGTTTATCGCCCATACTGTTTTTCGTTCACCGGTTATAATAAGATGATTTTTGTGTTTTTCTCTGGATGACCTTCGCCATTAGAAATGTCAATTGTCATGGCAAATTCTTTAATGAATTTTTCGCTCTAATAAATCGAAAGAAAATTGAATGTTAAACCTTTTAATTGATTAAACAATAGAACTAAAATTAAGTTTTAATAAAAACAAATTAACTATAACTATTTTATTTTTTTCAAGAGGTCGCTGAATTCAATTGGAGGAAGGAGGCATTACATCCAATAACCTCGGATTGGTTTACTTTATAAATAACTTTTATTGTCCTCCTTGTTCGATAAAGTTCACATTCGATTCATGTTTTGTTTTCATTATAATTCGTTGTAATTATAACTCTGTCAGCTCTAACGGTTAAACACTTGGAAAATTTATTTTCTATTTGAATAATGTATTCATAGAATTTAAATTCAACAAATATCGATATATGAAACTTTGGTGTTGGAACGAATATTGGTAAGAGAGTTTTTCATGAAAAAAAAACAGTGTAACATTGTTCTTCTGTTATAATGATGATTCTACATGCACCACTCTGATCATAATCGGATATGAAGAGGATTTATTTCCATAATGAATCTGAATACAGAAGATTTTTTATTTAAATTTTCTTTTAAAAAGAACAGTTCTATGATGAATCCAACGACGGTCTTCAGATAAAGAATGATCGAAAAAAACGATTTCTAAACCCATTTCAACTGAGAACTGTTGATGCTTATGAGAATGAAACGATCATAAAGACTGTTATTAAAAACTAAAATCTTTTACTCGTATAGTCAATAGCTACTTACGATGCAAGTGTTTTAATTGATAAATCGGTTTTCAGTTGAAGTTATGTGCGTTATGCAGACATATTTAAAGATGCGGAGAAAAGAAGAAAGTGAGGGAGGGAGGATGAAGTGCAGGCCGCAAGGAAGTTTTTGAGGGTTGAACTTTGGTAGGAAAAAACTGGAAGGTTTCGAAATATAGTAGAGGCACATCTCGTGAACACAACATGTTTAGAGATACTATACTTCTACGATACTTTTTAAATGAATGACGTGGTAATAGGAAAACTGATTTTCGCATTTTTGACTCGAAAATTTTCAAAGAGACAAGCTTTAACAAAACAAGTTCATTGTGAAAGTTGTAAATCTTTTTATCTGTTTCTATTATGAAATATGAACATCAAATCTGCTAGTTTATATGAGTGAGGTAAACGCTATGCTATTACTGTAGCTGTATCTTAGGGTAGACAAGATCGGAAACGTTCTTAAAACACTATTCTCGTTAAAGCTTGTCTCTCTGCAAAAGTTTCAATTCGAATTCGAAGATCAGTTTTATCTGTTACCACGACTTTCATTTAGTAAATACCGTAAACGTGCAGTATCGTCATAACAATAAGCTAACGGTTCGAACTCTTTTCAGAGTATGAATGACTTTCTTGGGCTTACATGATGCATTTGGCCTCGAATAGATTCGATTCCAAAGATTTTATTTTTGCCGAAAAGCCCTAAATTTGGCAGCCTTTGGAATGGAATTCGACCAAATAATAGTTTCAAAGTATTGATTCATTATAAAATCGAATTACTAAATGACATGACGATCAGATACAAATAACTGACACTGAATATGAAAGATGGTATTCTCATCGAGCACATGTAGTAGAATTTGTCATACTTCTTTCATGTATGTCAGATGTGGATAAATGTGCAAGAAAAAAAATTGTATTGGTCTGAAAAGAAACATCGAAATGAATATTTTATTTCTTTTCATAATTTATTTTTTCAGTTCAACAATTCTTTACATTTTTTTTTGCACATTTTAGTACAACAAAAGTCGATTGAACAGAAATATATTCTTCGATAATCTACATTTTTCGTTGTAAATTAATTGAACAAAGAAAATGATTGGTTAACAAGTGAACGTGTATTGAAAATATGAATGAAATTGACAAACCAAGTATGTATTATCTTTGAAAATAAACACCATTATGTCAGTAAACAATGATTAGTGTTAGCTAATCCACTAACAGTTGTAAAGTTGAGTTCGATTGAAGCTTAGAATGTTGAAAAACTCGAATGTGATAATAATAGATGCTTATATCTTCCTGAAAAGTCTGGATAAATCAAACTATTTGATGATATTAAAGAGTCAACAAATTATTGATAGTTTTCTTTCTTTAGATGTTAGAATTAAAAGATGTATTCCTTAGAAATTATTAACATATCACTAATGCTACTAGTTCAATCTAGTAAGTTTATTCTTTAACAGTTCAATGATGAATCAAACGACGGTCTTCAGACAAAAATAAATGATCGATAAAAACGATTACTAAACCCATTTCAAACTGAGAACTGTGATATATATTTATACATACGAAAATTAAGTTTTCGGTTTTATTTTTCAGTGACATGTTGTAAAAAAATTATGTTGATGAAGATGTCACTAAAATTCAAAATTAAGCGTCTCTACAGAATATTGAATCTTAAGTTTTACTTAGCAAACTTCTAAAACCTTTCCAAATTTTATATTGGAAATAGGTTTCGCTTGTTTGCAAGAATAATAGACGGATTATTACCGGGCGAGCTCAATATTTAAATGAAACTACGCCTAAATATAATTTGTACATTTCGTTCTTATGTTCTGATATCGTCATTAAAAACTCGTGTGGCATCACTTATACAATGAATTTTATAACCCACTATCTTCTATAGCATCATTTTTTTAAGTGAAAAAAATCTGTTATTTAGTTACACGAACTAGTTATTCTGTTGTTTGATATGTTGACACCTATTACTATGGAAATAGTGAATTTTTACGGAGTAATTTTTTAAAAATTTCTTGATTAAGATTTTAAAGCAATATTTTTCATGACAAACAAGTTGGACCATTTTTGACCCATTCGTACTGAATGGCATGAAAAATAATATTTCTATCATTATTGTATTTTTTATATAAACTGATAAATAATCCGATATTCATATTATAAGTTTTAATCGAACTAATAACCAGTCGAAAAACATTGCCACTGTTTTTAAATGACATTTTATCGATAAATGTTAGAAACTCTACAGCTTCTGTTATGGTCTTATTTCTAAGAAAAACCTTAAGAATAGAAATGAACGATCTAGCATTGGAATCAGTACTAGTAATTCCATATTTTAAAAATGAAATTAAAAACATACATGATTCCTCTGGAAATCATTCATAATAAGTAGGTTTTTAGCTATGTACAATCAGACAAACAAAATAACTGTAAAACGTACCATGAATAGTAACTGTAATTTTTATATAATTCAAGACGAATCGAACTTTGATGGTCCGTTCTAAATCTCCCTAGTAAAGTGGCTTTGCCTAAATTTAACGAATCAAGGCCATAATAAGCACATAGTCGTAATTAAAAATAGAGTCCGAATTACTCAAGTATATGATATATTTCATTTCAAAAAATAAAATTAATTGTTTTCTAGTATCTGTACAATTTCATTCCAAAACCAAAAAAAAAAAAGTCTAAAGTTTTATTCAATTTTAACTAATTCAATATTAACTTCTTCTGCTAATGAAAGATCTGTATCATTTGCATATAATAATTGTCCATTTCGTTCAATACTTGCTAATAGAGTTATTCCACCTGGTATTGATTTAATTTGTTCAAATTTCATATGTGCTTTACTTGGATCATAGAAACATTGATATTTAATTGGCATCTGTTGTTCTTGATGTAGACGTATATTCGCTGAACCTAATATAATACATTCAGCATCATATCGAAGTGTATCACGAACAGATACATCAAGAATTTCATCGCCATGAAAATTGGCTTGTTCACCTTTGATTTTAATTTCACCATGAACACTATTTTCAACAAATGTAGCCATGAAAATATAGTGTAATGAATGAAAGTTATGTGTGTGTGTGTGTGTGTGTGTTGTTGTTTTTTTTTGTTGCACACTAAAATGAGCAGCGAACGTCAATGATTAAAGAAAGAAATGAAATCAGTTCTCGTATTTCAAGGACAAAGAAAAAAAAAAGTTTTTTTCCCTTGTCTCGTTCTTTTAAAAATAACAAAACAAATGTGTTATGATAATTTTAAGACAGACTAATTCGCAATGAAATGTCATTTTCATGCTGAAAAATTTTTATTTGCAAACAAATTTTGAGTACATCATTAATATGAAAAAAAACGAGAAAAACATAGTTTTTTTTGTTTAAATTTAATACAGCATTAGAAGCTTATAAAAGAATTCGTTTATGTTGATCATGACAGGGTACACCTCTTTAAGTTTCCGAGATGTTGACAATGTAATATCAACAGTTACTGTTAAGAATTCTTTTTTTTTTATATGCAAAGTCAATATTATTTTTTTTATTTAGTAACATGAAGAATAATCAAGCTTATGGATTCAAAAGCAATGATCATTGATCTTATTATGTATGTTAGATGATTTTAATAAAAAAAAAGTTTTATTTATTGAAGAAAGTAAGAAGACGTAGATGTAATTTGTCTTAGTAATGACGTACTGGAACTCTATGATGATGATGATGACCACGATGAGCTGGTACCTCGGGCATACCTGGCAAGTTTTGACGACGACGATGTCGATGAGGTCCCATAGGTCTAGCCCCTATAGGAGGTTGATGTCTTGGAGCATAGGCATGAGATGCAACAGCAGGTTGAACTGGCGTAGTCAGTATTAAAGGTGGTGTTATTGTACGCCGGGCAGGTGGTAGATGACGATTAGTTCGAATTCTTGACACTGTACCAACTGGATTGTAAGCTGCAGCAGGTGGTGCATGATGTGATCTTATTGTTGCCGCTCTGATTCCTTGTGAAAAATCATTTCTAGTCCAAAAATTAGCAGAATTTGAGTACAACTTATGAGGCTTATATAGTACGAATGGATGTTGACGATAAGCCATTACTTGTATGCCTTATACAATTAAGTTTGAAATACCTGGAGTCTTTTTATAGTAAAAAAACAAAGAGTCAAGAAACGAAAGATGTGATATTTTGTCATGAGTTACGCTTGAATACTTTCTTGTAGGTAGTAGGAGAATATTTGAAACATGATTTTTGTCAATGACATACGCATTAAGTAAAGAACGAATGATAAACACTTGAAAAAAAACTGATTCCTCAATGATTTTCAAGGTTATGGTTTTTTTTCCTATATGATAATGTACATCAAGTAATAATTGACGATAATATATCATACTGTGCAAGAGTTGAAATGCACACGAATATTCATTTTTTCTGTAACTATTCATAGTAACAGGTTTAATTAAGAGGAGAATTTTCTCTTTCGTTTCATTGCTTAACATTGACTTTGTTGATTTCGACATCAATAAATGAAATTATGTTGTTTGTTTAACTGGACATGTGAATGATATTTTGAATAGCTTTAACTCTAATGAAATAATAATCTCTGTCAAAATCTTCTACATCTTAGTACATTTTTCTATTACTTTTCTCAATTAAATAATACTTCATATCGATATATTAATTAAATTATTATCGAAACAAAATCTAATTTCACAATTCTATTCTAATAAAAATTCAATTCTTATAGTTGTCTTTTTTTCTTGTATAGTTACTAAAATTTAATTTAAACGGATTTTGTGCTGTTCATGTTTGTTTTTAAACTATAAACAAACTGACGAATAGAAACTTTTTAAAATATTATTCAAGTACTTTCATGATAAGCAAAAAGAAAACAAAAGTAATGCAAATAAAAACTTCGCATGATGAAATTTTTTTATTCATTGTCTTGAGATATTCAATGATGTATCGACAAGATTAGAGTCGCTGACGAAGTTTATTATATTATACGTTTGCTTTCTATTCATGATTGATTTATATTAATCGATAAATATGGATTTAGACAATGGCATATGATTATAACTTTAAAAAACAACATTTCTTACAAATTATTAAGTAAATATTCAGATGATAATAAAGAAGAATCATTGATTCTGAATTCAACGGTTGAAAGAAAATCTTAGCTTAAATCAATCATTGCTTTATAGAATCTTATTTTCACTATTCCTGAAATCTTATCTTAAATTTAATTCCATAATTTATCTCATTCAATATTCTTATATTATTTTCATATTTTTATTTTAGGATAAAATGAAAAAAAGAATTTTATCCTATGGCATGAAAGTCTTGGCACAAGATATTCATTCCCTGTTTGGTCATCTAAAGACACCTGGTTAAAGTTAATTAGAATCAAACTTCTGCGCTCTTTCTGAATATATGTTCAGAATTTCGTCATGGAGTAAAATTGAATAATTATGATTAGATTATTTTAAAAAGGTGAAAAATAGTGATTGTACAGAATACTATTTCGGCCAATTTCTTATTATAATTGAAATCTATCATTAATAACTTTCTCGTTACTTTTCGCATTAGCATATCACACCTTTTACTCGAGAAAAAAGTGTATGCAGACAAAAAAAACGTCATATGTGTATACATAAATATTTTCGAAAGCACCTCATCTCCTTCCTATACAGTGACATATCGATGACATTTCTGTTCTCCGAACAGTATGGATTGAAAGAGGAGAGAGGTGAAAAGAGAAAAAAAAAAGTATAGAAGAATGCAATACTTAGCATAAGAGCGAATAAGATGGAATAATATATACGCATACACACGAAAAACCAAATCATCCAACTTAAGATGTGTCATGAACGATGACCATAACATCCGTCAAACTCAAAATGTGAAATAGTTTTTAATAACGCAGTATTGTTTGCCTTTTCAAGGAGTGATATTTACTTTTGCAAGACAGATTTTAAAAATTTTCGTATTTTGAAAAGTAATTTTTTGATCAATGCTGATTTGCACAGAAACTAGCTCTCTAGTGGAAACGCATAAATGGGATTTCGCTTATTCTAATATTTTATTTTGTACAGAACTCCGTGCAATATAATAATGTTGGGATTGAAATTGTTCTAAAATACAAGCTACAGACTACGTTGAAACTGTTTTTTTTTTAAACTTTATTTACCCAATTTTGAAATTTGTCTAAAAAACCTTATCAATAGTTGTTAATCTTACCCCAGATGAAAAGTCTGAAACATACAGTGGGTATCGAAGTCATACAAAAAGCCGTTTACCCCTGCTCTAAATGTCAAAAAGAATCTGAATAAAACAAATGGTTTCCAACAAGAATATAATTGAATAAAAATGATTATCAGAGCCGCAAAGATCGAGACTCTAGAAATTTAAAACCCTAGTTTTTCAACATGTAGAATCCATAAATATAATTTTTTTTGCTTTATCATTCTATATACTTAAAATAGATTTCTAGCCACTCGTTCTAGTTGGAGTAAAGCTAGTATTTTAGTTTCTTGAAGTCTTTACCTTTGAAAACCTGATAATAATTTTTATCTTCTACATTTTTTTTGAAAATCATTTTCTTCATTCAGATTCTAGTGCTTATGGCAGCGAAAAAAACAATTTAAATTGAACCATGTTGAATAATGTCGGTAGTCACTGTATATTCGGAAATATCGAAAAATACTGATACTATCAAATTGTCTTTTAGTGGTCGAAAAACGAGCGAATATTTTGTGCAAAGACGTTTACACCATAGGTTAGATTTTTTTAATATGTTTTATTGTTCTATAAATGATATATTCTTCTGAATGAAATAAGTACAATAGATTTAAGAATTTTTTAATTTCAGATAGAATAAAAAACAACAATAAAAAATGAATCAATACTTTACGAAACCAATTGATGAAGGAATGTATGCAGATGAAACCGGTGGAAATATTGATGATTATGATGATGATATGGGTGTTGGTAGTGGTGAAGCAATGATGCGTATCGATACGTCGTCAACTGCTGGTTATATGCCGCATCATTTATCATTAATGGCAACAGAAAAAATAGTTCATGCAGATTTTTTTAATGATTTTGGTGATCTTTTTGATACAGACAGTTTTGCTCTTAACGCTACTACAACAGGACATGTTACAGCTTGAAATATTTATCTATATATATATATATACTGTGCATTTGTTAATACAGACAAAAATAAAATAAAATACATAGTTTTAAACGAGAAAAGATAACACTAACGAATATTTTATTAATAAATAAAGTTTATTTTAATAATGATTTGAAACAAATATTATTATTAGATCAGCATGGAAGTTCTGTTGTTTGCGTGTAGTTTTCCGAATAAATCACAATAATAATAAGAAATTTCATTTATCGTATCGATCTTATAGTCATCCAGATAAACAGTAATTCGTGTTATAATTGTCAAATAGAATTTTAAAAAAAATTTTCTATCAAACTGAAAATAAATGTCTTTTGGACATATATTGTTGCATCAATAGTTTATTTTTTTTTATGGCAAAGCAAATATGTCAAGAATATTATCTTATGAGTTGTTTTCTTTAATTTAAGTCCCTTGAGATAATCGATATCGTTAATTCGAGGACAATAGAAACAGATTGTTCGTTTCTCATACATAAGCTATTTAAAGAACTGTCGTTTGATTTGTCTATTACGAAAAAAAAGAACCATGTATAAATCATTTGCTCTCTTACTCCTTATTCTCGTTGGTAGTATTGTTGCTGATGTACACAAATTTAAAATGCGATCAAGTCGTATTGAACGTGTTGTTTCATCAATAAATCATGGAACTAATAGTCTTGATTGGTGTCCACAATGTATTAATACTTTTGATGATTTAATTGAAGTTGTTCTTGATATTATTCTTCAATTTGGTATTATGGATACATGTGGTCATTTGTGTGATCTTGTTACTGAAAAAACTGGATCAGCACTTCTTGGATTAGTCTGTACAATGGGTTGTGATTTTTTGGGTATTGAAGAGTTTGCTAAATTAATGGAAAGTGCCGATATTGATCCAATCTATTATTGTGAAACAATTAAATTTTGTCCAAGTAAATCAAATATTTTATATTGAAAATAAAAATATGTTTTACTTTGTAGTCAATGATAATGGTGATGCTAAATTTAAATCATTTGCTATTCTTCCACCACGTGCTCAAACTGGTAGTACAATTGATATTGACATGGTTTTTGTAACAACAAATGGAACTGGTACAGGTGAAATGGTTATTATGATTCAAACAGTCGATAAAATTCCACTTGCGTCTGGTTTCTTAATTGAAGCTAAAAACCCTGGTACTTACGGTGAACGTATTGCTATTGATACTACTGCTGATCCAGATTGTGATCCTAGTAGCGGTAAAAAAAAATCTTTTTTTTTTGAACATATTTAAATCAATGATATCATTCGAACAAAAAAATTTTCTTTTTATATAGAACAATGCGAATTGTGGTTAGAAGGTACTTATAATGTTACAGTTATGCTTTGTAATGGACAATGTGGTTCACATCATCCTCATACTGCTCTTTATGATACAGGTCGAGGTTCTTTTACACTCTATGAAGAGTAATTATGTGTATTTACTTATTTTAAAAATAAATTATGCAAAATTATTCATGAATTATTTTTCTCTACAAATATTAAGGAGAATTGAAAGATTTTTTTCTCTTAATCACAAGGGTAGCTACCCGGTTACCTATATGATATTGAAAAAACTTATCAATATACTTTCAGAATATTTTATTGATAGGTTTATTTTCTGCCTTCGATTTGGAAAAGCCTTTTATGCATTGAAAATTAGACATAACTGTGTCAATAAATAATTATTTGAATAACCTATTTTCGTACATAGATAAAAATCTATATAAAAAAGAAAATAATTGTATATTATTATCAGGTCTTTGAAAGAGAACTAATCGAGCATGCTTTGTTTTACATCACTAAGGAGTCTATTTTAATGATGATGTCTTGTGTGAAGAAATTTTTTAAAATTGAGTGTGTATCAACACATCAGACATATTTCTTTCTTTGTATAAATATCGAACTTTTCATGTATGTTGTATGATATCATATATCTATTATCACCCATTAGAATTGAGGAAGATTTATTGATTTCATTTCTTTAAAATCTTTTGTCGACCATTTCATAAGAATTTTAGCATTATGTTCTAACTATTTACTGAAGTATTTCGATTCATGCATTGTGATATTAGTACTGTGCATAAATATTCAATTTTCGTTGCGTAACTTAAACGTATTGTTATAGATAATCATCATACTCGTTCAATCAGATATTGTTTTATTTTCTTGTGAGCAAACAAAATTCTAATAGATTAACGACTAATCAATATTCTAGTTTTATGATGAAAACTTTCAAGGAGTATTTCATCACACGATATACTATTCAATCTTTCTTACTAATAAGAGAACGAAGTCAAATGTGAGTCTCCATGTCCAAACGACTCTTGCCAGTTTCTAGATCTTAGTGAACTGATCACAAGCGCATGATACGTTGTTTCAATAGACTATCTTTAAGAAGTAAGGTCAATCTCAACTACACCTAGATAATTGTAAGCTATTACTGCGAAAATTTTAATTTTCTCTGTTAGTGTTTAGTTCTTAGCATTCAAAAGTTGAACACTGAATGCATCTTAATTGACTACACATTCACATAATCCATATAAATTGTAGTCCTAACTGCGTCTATACTTTTTTAGTATTTCAATATCATTTATATTAAGAATGCATAGTTCAATCTTTTTCAAAATTCATCTTATTGCAATTTTATGTTCATCTATAGAAGAAAAAAAAATGTATGTTGATCTTATTTCAATAGGCTTTCTTATCTCATATAACTTTTTTTAGATACACATGCGAGAAAACAATTAAATAGAATGTAAACTATTGAAAACAAGTACTTAACAAGGTTTTAATTGCTACATCGTTAATATAGTTCAATTCTGTAATTCAATTATGTTAATGATAGTCAAATACTCAAAGTATAAATACAGTTAGGCATTTTATTTATGTTGATTCTGTAGCTGCGTACAGTCAATTAGGATGCACCTAGCATTGATATTGTGAACACTGAGAACTGAACTAACATAAAAATTAAAATTTCCGTAATAATAGTTTACAGTCATTTTTCTGTAATTGAGACTAACCTTACTCCTCAACGGCGGCCTATGGAGAAGAACACATAAGCCAATGTTAATCAAAACAATTGCGTCCACAAACTGGTATAAAACCGATTGAAAATGAAGACTCACAATTACGGATAGTCGTTTGTAAGATGGTTAGTGTTTTGTATACGGATAATTTTTATATTTTTGAGATACTGAAGGATACGATGAGTGATAAATTATTGATAAACTTTGACTAAATAGTCTTTTGAACAAATATTTTATTTTACTTGAGTATTAATTGATTTTTTGATCAGTATCGAAAACCAAAATCACATTTTTTTGTAAACAATATTCATAGTGTTACTTGGTATGACGGAATAAAATTTATATTGTACAATGGATTCTTTTATTAGGAAATAGTGTACAATTTATTTTTCCATGCAATCTATATCAATGTTCGAATTCTGAATGATTTAGCTCTATTCTATGGTAATTAAGAAATTTAAAGTTATATGAATAGCTTTATTTGACAAATTTCATCTTCAAATTTTATCTGATAGCTACACATTTGAGTGTTTTAATTGCTCGAATTGAATTGATTTTTTCGCTAGATAATGATGATATGAACGTTTAGAACTAAAAATAGACCAGAAAAATGTTGTCGGAAACTTTCAAAATTTTTATGAACTTAGTTTTAATAACATTTGGTGTTACTTAAACAGAAAAATATTCTACTTTTTTGATTTAACTATATTTCTTTAATTACTTTTGCATAGCTTTTTTCTAACATATTGTGAAAAGTTTGTAACAAGAACCGAATCTTAGTCAAGTGCTATGACAAGCTAATTGGATACTTAGAACTATGTTTGAACAGTTAACTATGAACCAGTTCAAAGACAGACAAAAACTATTTTGATTGCTATGTCCAATAAACAATATCTTTACCAAGATTTACTAATAGCAAAAAAAGAAATGTACATTTTTCATTTTATAATACCATTAGCACTAACTTGAGTCAAGTACGAATTATTTCTTTACAATCATTTATTTTTCAGCCTTCAAACATATGAGTTACCAAATACATAATGATATCTTGTTTTCATTTTACATATTTTTATGAATCCAAAACAAAAATGATGAAATTTTGTCTATTATCCAAAAATCATTGAATAGTTTGGTTGCTTCTCATAGAGAATGTATATTTATGAGACTTGAAGTCTGGTTTGATTTCCTTTAGTTTAGTAAGAAAAGTAATAGCAAAATAATTTACAAGGTTTTTACTTTGATTATTCTTCTTATAGTTAAAATTGCATATACGCCACATTCACACAATATTCATTAAAAAAAAAATCAAAAATTTCAATGCCCTAGTTTGATTCTAGATCCTAATAAAATCAATATAGATCTCGATTCTATGTATACCGATGAAATTATATAATTAATTCATATTCTTGATCAAGGAATTCTAGAATCTTCTGATTCATTTTGTGGAGTTGTTGTGCATCAAACTGACTCAAAATTCTTGGTAGTCTTTATAATTTAATATATGGTGGCATTAGAATTGATGAATTTATCAACTTGATCATCAAAGTTGATATTGATTCTACCTATTATTATCAACTTCTTGATAAGTTTTCGAATAAGAAAAATTTATTCAATAATATTTTTAAATAGATTTAAAAAATTATAAGTATAATTAGTGATCATAGTGACACTAAATTTATTAATACTGATGTCCTAACACAAATTATCCCTTAAGGAATAACGTTTATATTTGATCTTTTTGTTCTTTTGGTCTGTATATGGTACTGATGTGGGAACATATATTTTTAATTTTATTGATTCTAAAAAGCCAGCCATTTGATAATTTGTATTTGTTTGAAGTGAAAAATCACCTGGTACATATCATGAAATACTTCCTATCAAAATTTTTTCACATTGTGATCTTTCGGAAGATATAAATAGATTATTTCTCTTGAAATAAATTTTCTTGTATCTAGGGATTATTTTTACAGAAGTTAGTGTTGTCCAGCCGATCAGCACTTACAATGTTACTGCACAAATCGGTAATGAACAATGTAATTCACTTCATTCTCACACAGCTGTTTGTGGTATTAAAATAATCTGTTTTGTTATTACAAAGAGAAAAACAATAGATTCATCATCGTATTTTTCTATTATAATATCTTATATAAAACATTTATATTTATTTGTAAATAATTTTTGTTTAACAATGTCTTGAAATTCAACAAAATTGTAAAACATAATAACTGATTTTTCTTCTAGAATAGTTTCAAATAAAATTGTTCTACTGACACTTAAACTAATCACAATGTCAAAATCAATTCTTATCCTGTATCTACGAGTTTGTAGACCTTGTTGTGGTGTAAATGATAAAAAAAAATAATTTGTAAATTTTCAATAAAATAATTTCATTGGATCAACAATAGTATTAAACTCGAACATCTATCTCGATTCGATTAGTAATAAAGTAAAGTTGTTCACTCAGTTGGCTATTAAAAAAAAGTCCAAAGGAAAAATATTGAAGTAGAAAATGCTCGAAAAGGGTATCAAAAAAATTCTGACTACTCAGACATATTTTCCATTGTATGGAATACTACTATCATTCTATTAGAGATTAGTCACAAGCCAAGAGAAAAGAAAATTGATCAGGAAATTGCAATTCTTCAAGTTTTCCTTTATCTTCACGGTAACCGTAATCTTCAATCATTTTAATCAATTGATCATTTGACTTTGTAGGAATTTTTGCTGGATATCCATTAAGTGTACACTTTCAATGTGTTCGTAGTTGCTATTTCTTTTTATTCAACTTCAAAATATAATCACCTAATAAAGGCAAAGATCTTCCTTTTTTTTGTGAACTAATAAATGAAATAACTAGCGACGATAGCTGACCATCATCCTATGAAGATAAAGCAGCTACGATCATGATAATATACTTTTAAGTTAATCTCTATCAGATCTTCTTCATCACTGTTACTACTAAATAGTTATAAACACAAGTGTCTTTCTTCTAGCAATGCACTTTTAATAAATGCAGAAAAAAGAACTTAAAAAAAAAACAAAGGCCAAACTTTAAAGTAAATTAAAATTAAATCAAGGTCATAATCGAACAAAAAAAAAACAGCTGTGTGAAAATATCACCATTTATGATGTTTGAATAAAAATAGTGCATTGTTTTAATCATTTCGGACAGATTGTTCGTTTCTCATAAAAAAAAACTATATTTATGTGATTTGCATCTTCTATTAATTATCTTTACTAAATTGTAAAAAGAACAATGTACAAAGATTTTACATTGATCATCTTAGTTATTATTGGAATAGCTTCTGCTTCTCGATCATTTAATACTCCGACAAAAAATCTTCAACCTCTAACTCGAACAAACGTGAACGTTGATCTTTGCCCAACATGTATTGAAGAAGCTGTAGAGCTCATTAACGTGTTACTTAATTTGATTCTTGATGAAGGAATTATTCAATCATGTAATATTTTATGTGGAGCTGTTGCCAATAAAACGGGTTCAGTAATTATTGGTGATATTTGTGATGTTGCATGTGAAGCAATTGGTCTTGACGAGTTTATTAAATTAATTATTAAAGCTGATATTGATCCTATTTGGTATTGTGAAGTTGTTAAACTTTGTCCAGGTAACAGATAAAAAAATTATTTTATTATGCTTAGAAAATTTATAAAAATATTTTTCTAGTTAATGATCATGGTGATGCTAAATTTACAAATTTTGGTATTACACCTAAAAGTGCTCCTGATGGTTCTAAATTTGTAATTGATTGTTCTTTTGTTAGTGTTAATGGTACGGGTACAGGTACGATTAATATTGAAATTGTTGATCCTAAAAATCGAACAACTGCTAATCTTTACTGGTTCGAAGCAAGAAAACCTGGAACATATCCGGAAAAAATTGGCCTTCAGACTTTAGTTGAACTTAATTGTGATCCTATAACAGGTCAGAGAAAATTGATTTGCTTTTGAAAATTGATTATTTTATTTCTTTTTTTGGATTTTATTAATAGATGTTTGTGATGATTGGCCAATAGGTACTTATAATGTTACTGCACAAGTATGCAATGGAGTATGTGGTTCAATCCATCCACATACGTCTATTTATGATATGGCTAAAGGTTCATTTGAACTTACAAAGAAAAAAAGCTTTTTTTTAAAGAATTGATGTAATATTGCTTATTTATTTTATGCATAAGTAATAGTCGAAAATAAAAAGTATGAAACTGTCATTAGATGTCAATAAAGTTTGTTTTGCAATAAAACATTTTCTGATGAAGACAGCCTTTCAACTGATTAATCACTTTTGAACCGAAAGCATATGCATCATATCGAATTCAATGGATTATGAATAGCTCGAAAAAAGTTTGTACTCCTGCTTATTGCTGTAGAGATACTGCACGTTTAGGATATTTTTCAAGACAATGTGGTGATTTCCTTCAGAAACACCAAGAAAACTAATTTTTGAATTCTTTGCATAGAAACAAGTCTCGATAAAAATAATTTATTGTGAAAAATTTCAGGTATTTGTTAAAGCCCGTCTCATATACACATATAGATTAAATATTCTTATTTCAAGGCAGTAACAGATCGAATGGCTTGATGTTTTCATGATTAAACATGCCCTTTGAAGCTTATTTCCAGACAAAGAATTCGAAGATCAGGTTTCCTGAGATACCTGAGGAGACCACGGCATTGTATTGAAAAATATCTTAAAAATGCAGTATCTTAACAATGATAATTTATGAGGTCGAACTCTTTTTGCGGTATTCATAATGATTTATTTTTTGCAAGAAGCATATACTGCCGATTCGAGAAGAACTAATCAGTTTGGGAATTTTCTTCTTTAGTAGACTTCACAAGAAGTTTCAGTCCGTAGGTCTTCGTAGTATATAGTCATAAACAATTGCCATTCGAAAGAAGTTGCCGAATATTCAATCAATTTCAATAGTCATATTCATTTTGTTATGATATTAAAAGTCATTATTGAATGACAAGTTAATGACAAATGGAACTGGTTTCTTCATCATACATATGCTTATTTCTATGTCATTTTCAGTTGAGATATTTGATAGTAAAACTTATTTCAATGAATAGATTATACTATGCAGACTGTTAACAGTTCTTAATCAACTGATTTTCATTTCAATACGTATTTCATATAATTTTAATTGAGTGTATGTGTGCTAATTCACTAAAAATTGTCTGCTAGGAGAACTGTTTCAACTTGAAAATAGCTTTAGCATCCGGACTTTGTGCATAGGGTATACTATAATGGGGTATTAGAAACCTCAAAAGGATAAGGCCTTCCTTATAAAATTATAGTTATTCTCGTGAAATTTCAGTTTATAGGATGGTATATAAAAAAGAATCGAATGATGATATTTTGATGTGAAATTTTGACTTTAAATAAACTTATTTGTAATTTGAATACTGTGGAAAGATCCAGCTCATAAGGATACCTCTTCACAAGATATTGGATTCTCACAACATGATATTCTCTAATCTCTCGTGGAATATCACTGATTGCTGAGAATTCAATATCTAATCAAGAAAACATTCTTTTAAGCTGAATTTTTCTGAACGTTCTAGTTGCAATTAGATCTATCTACAGGCAAAATTCCAGGTCACAATCTCGGCATTTGATTCTTTTGTACCTACTGTATTATAGACGCAAATTTCAATAAAACAGCTTTATTTTCGTAAGAAAGGGCTTATTCTTTTGAGGTTTGGAATATGTCATTCAGGTTTATCTCATGTACAAAGTCTCAACTAGAAAGTGATTTTCACATTGAGAATGTTCTCTTATCAGGACAAATGTTGAGTGTCGAATCAAGAAAAAAAATTACGTTATTATGTTTTATTTCTTGATATGATTATTTCTATGCTATTTTAAATCTTTTTTATTTATTTATATCGCTATGCTCATCAAATGATATAATTAATATCTTTACCGATATGATGATTACATTATTTTGCCTTTATTAAAATATTGATCGGTCGTCTTCTATTGCTTTTTTCTCTCGTACAAAGACACATACTAAAGTATATATGCTCATTAACATTGTCGACATAAGTCAACGAAAGTTTGAAAGAAAGATTGCAATGTCCTTTAGATATGAACAAAATATTTTTTTGACCCAATTTATTTTTCTTTGCATGCTATGAAATAGATCATTTACATTCCTGTCATGATAAAGCAGTCTTATTTCAGTTATTGATAACATCTATTGCGAAAACAAAGAAATAATATCGAAACTGATGCAAAGAATAGATGAAAAACCAATGATGAATTAGTTAAAGAGAAATCAACCATTTCTGTTGATTAAAACTGAAAATTTTCAGTTTATTCTAGATGTCATAGTTAAAATAGTACCAAAAAATATTAAAAAAGTGCATCTTTAGATTTTTAAAATAAGTCATCAAGTTTCAGCAAGTTTGAATAGTAATTTCTTTTCTAAGACGCACTAGATAAGAATTAAAAAAAAATGAACAGAATTGCATCGAATGCTGTTTTAATTCTTCGAGAATCTTGGAGAAGAAAAAAAGGCTATGTGAAACTCGAACCATTTGTGTAATATCGACGTGAATCCTATGAGTATTAGTACATCTGGAACAGCTGATTATTTTTCCATTAAACGAATATTTATTAGCGTTGCGTTTCTTATATTTGTGTGCTTTTGTGTATTGTAAAAATCAACGGTAGAAATCATGTACAAAGCTCTTGCTTGTGTTCTCATTGTCGTTGTTGGTGTTGCTAATGCTCGTGGCTTTAGTAACATTCAATCACACAGTGTTCAACGTATAAAATCATTATTTCCACAACCAGATGTAGGTCTTGATCTTTGTCCAACATGTATCAATGTTGCTGATCAATCAATCAATATTTTGCTCAATTTGATTTTGGACACTGGTATTATTGGCACCTGTGGTACATTATGTCAAGCTTTGGCTCAAAAAACTGGATCACAACTCATTGGTACAATTTGTGATTTAGTCTGCGATGTTGTTGGCATTGATGAATTTATCAAATTAATTGAAAAAGCTGATCTTGATCCAATTTGGTATTGTGAAATTGCTAGAATGTGTCCAAGTAATTATATTTTTTCTATATGTTGATTAGAAACAAAATTAATGAATTTTTTCTACTATATAGTTAATGATCATGGTGATGCTAAAATTACCAAATTTTCAATTTTACCAGCAACTGGTCGTCAAGGAACAACATTTGCCATTGACTTCACTTTTGTATCATTGAATGGAACTGGCACTGGTGAACTTGATGTTGGCATTCACACTCCTGATCATATTCCACTTGGTGCTGGTTTCTTATTAGAAGCTAAAAAACCTGGTACATACAGTGAAAGAATCACTGTCAAAGCCGAACCGGATCCAGAATGCGATCCTACACAACGTAAGATCTTTTAAAATTATTTTTAAAATAGTTTTAAAAATGTTTGTCTTCTATTTCTTTGAATAGAACCATGTGAACAATGGTTACCAGGTATTTATAATGTAACAGTTCTAGTTTGCAATGGTGAATGTGGCTCAAAACATCCACACTCAGCTATTTATGATACAGCTCGAGGTTCATTTCAACTTACTGGATAAATAATTATGGTGTTTCTTTCTTTTTTTTTGCAATAAAATTCATCATTCTATTTATTGCATAAATATTTTTTTGTTATTAAAATAAACTTATTCAATATTCTGATTAGGAGAAACATGTTGTTTAAACTATTGATATGTAAGATATATTGAAAGTATTTGCCAAGGATAGGTTAGAGAATAGAATATTCAATTTAAATTCAAGAATTAATAATAAATATTTCCGTCTATGAATAAGTGGACAGTGTCATTTAGATGATTTGTCCCTAGAGCTTTATACTTTTGTTATGGAACAGTTTTTATTTACACGAATAAGTATCGAAAAATATTTTTTGTAAAGTGTTGCATATTAACACTAAATATGAACTGCTTCGAATCAATCGAATAAGATTTATCTCATTCAATTACAAAAAGAAATCCGAAGATTTACTGAATTATTTATATCCTTATCATTATTACGAGATAAATTGAATGTATGTGAACGAAAACATATGTTTTCTATATAAAATTAAATTTATCTCTTGCAATGAGAAGATATGGACCTTGGTCTGAAAATCCATAGTACTTTTCTAATGTGAAACTTTTCTTTTAGTACATTAATCTCATCGTTTTACAGTTAAAATCTGTTAGAAAATCTAATTAAGATGAGACATGCCGAAATTCTACATTTATACATACAATTGACATCTACAAAACTTTTAACAGTTTCTTTTGTGAGATATATCGAGTCAGTATAGACTGAAGAGCGATAAAATAATTATTTATTGATTTGAAAATATACTATAAACATGAAGAAAGCCATACATGTATAACTTACTTTCCAACAGATTATAAGGATGCACAAAATTCTTAGGACCTTGATTTCAAAAATGACTTTTTATAGCATTGAAAACTCATTGTACTATCCGTTATTTAGAACCTTCTGCTCGGTTCTGATTACTCTATTCGACATTATCATTCCGTTTCATTGAATATAAAAAACGAAGTTCCGAACTGGTTAAAATTTCTGAGTTTTAAGAGATAATCCAACCAATTCTGTCACTTTCTTTTAGCTATTCAAAGAAGTCAAACTATAGTATCCGATAGAATATTGAAAATTAAACATGACTGAAATGAATCTGTAGGTTTTGAATACTACAGATATGTTACTTTGGAATTTAAGCTCTAGGAATCCGTACATTCACATTCAGAGATAGTATATTTCCAATATTCAAAAGTACAAGACTTCGTCCGTGATTTATCACAATAGTGATCAACTTTGAGTGTTATAATTTGATTTCTTTGAATAGTTAAAATAAATAACGAAATTGATCGGGTTGTGTCTTGAAAATCTATGCGCTTCGATCAATACGGTATTTCGCTTTTGTGTTCTTGATGAAATATCATGATGGTGTTGAATAGAGCAATCAAAACGAAGAAGAATATTTAAAAAATGACAAAACAATGAATTCTCAATAGTACAATAAATATCTTAGAAAGAACCGTCTAGGACTTGCTGTATTCCTAACATTTAACAATTAAAGAAATATATATACAATATGTAAATATAGCGTTGTTTTT